GGGGGTGTGTGGTTTCCCTCCACCAGACTCAGTGGCTGTGTCTGTTATCTAGAGTGTCTTCGTAATTTACAATTGAGGGAGAAAGGGAAGCAAAACAACAAAACGCTCCGGAATCGGATCTCCTCTAGGTAGTCACACTGTTGCAAAAGCAAAAACTAGCGCGCAGGCGCATCCGTCAGGTTGTCAACTATGAACAGAAGTAGGCACTCATCAAAATCAAGGAAGTGGATCTCGGCTAGACCCGCCACCTTTTTGTTTGGGTTCTCTAGGTTAATGTAGCAGTTACATTCCAATGACCTACAAACAGGAGCAAGGTTACTACTGAGTCACTTTCACAGATGTTTACTTAAATGCGAGGAAAACCCATTTCGCTTGTGGACAGGGAAAATATTTTCAGTCCAAACGTAGCACCACCCCATGACAAACCCAGACAACACATTCACAATGACCCATTAACGTGTTTCAACGAGTGAACTAGTTTACTTCCCCCATGGTACTATGAAAGAACGAGCCTATAACAAAGCCAAGGGATTTCCGATGTATCCCCTCCACTCCGTGGTGGGGTGCAGCAACATAATCGAGTCTGCCCCTCTCTGGGAGCTGCGGAGGGCCCAGGTGCTTTTGAAGGGAACCGGTTTGGGGTTAGGGTTTGGGTCTCGGTTGCGGGACCGTGGGCTGCAGACGGGAGCTGGTGCGCGGAGCAACCTCTGAGACGTCTGACTCACCTTCGTTTACGAAAGAACTTCGTTGCCGAAGTTAACCCCACGGGACACATCCACCCGCTCTCAGAGCGCAAGGGGCAGCTGTCTCCCCCTCCCACCGCGCAGAGACGCTGCCGCCGGCGGCGACCGGTCACAGCCCCAGACAAAGCGCTGGACCCCCGAGCCCGCCCGGCCGCCGCCCCCCGGAACGCGCCCTCGGCCGCACCCACCTTGATGCCCTGCTGCTGGGTGGTGAGGGTTAACTTGGACTCATCCAGGAGCAAAACTTCGCAGTAAAATTCTTCCGGAACAGCGCAGAAACAGCCCATGTCGGCTGTGGCCGTGTCCAGCCGGCGAGAGAGCCGCGACCCAGGCGCCGAGCCGCCCCCTCCCCTCGAGCGCGATGCCTTAATGTGCTGGCCGCGCCGAGGCGGGGGCGAGAGGGCGAAGCGGCTCGGGCGAGTGCGGCGCCGGGAGGGTCTGCGCGGCGGAGGATCAGCGCCCGGGACAGGAGCCGGCGCCGGCGAGAGTCAGCGCCCGCGAAGGTCCGCGCCGCGGAGGGTCAGCGCCCGGGAGCCGCCGGCGGAACTGGGCGCGGAGGACGGCGGCGCGTCCCCGCGCATCCTGCGGCTCCGGCTCCTCCGAAGGCGGGGGCGCCGCGGCTCCTCCCGCAGTCCTGGGGACGACAAAAGTCGCCTGGCAATGGGGCAAGGGGCAAGAAAAGGGAGGGACGGAATCGAGGCCCTCTCCGGACTTGCCAGCTCTGCAGCTCCCTCCAGCCGCCCCAGTTCGAGCTCAGCCGCGACGCCCCGGCGTCCCCTCGGCCTTCGGGGACCCCAGCCGCGCGCACTTCCAGCTGCGGCCCCGCCCGGCCGTCGCAGGTCCGGGCCGCCGAGTGGGGGACGCTCGGCTCTCCTTTTGTGTCAAGGATGGCCACGACGTCCCAGCCAGGGGCGCAGGGGCAGCGGCGAGAGTCGCCACTCAGCCCGCTACTCTCATATCCCCACCCGCAGGCCCTAGGAAGCCGGAAGGGGGTGGAAAGGGCAACGGGCTCCTTACCGAGACCGGCGAGGGGAGGTCAGCTCGTCGCGGGGCGTGGCTCCCGTCTGGGAACACCCGAGCTCATCCCGGGCGGCGGTGTGGGGCCAAGTTCAAGCTCTCCCTCCGTGGACGCCCTACCGCGGCCGCCGAGCGCTGCTTCTGCAGGGCATTCAGAAAAGCGGGGAGTCGGAGGATCTGCGGGCGGCGGAGCGGGCGCCCCCGCTGGGACCGCGGCGGACGGGCTTGTGCCCTGGGCGCGCCAGGCCGCGGAGGCTCTGGGGAAAGTTCTCTTGGCCGCGCGAGGGGTGGCGCCCCGGGCGGGAGCAGCCCAGGTGCGGCTGGGCCCGGCCCAGACGGCTGCAAAAAATCCTGAAAGCAAGCGCCGGCCCTACCCCGATGGCCGCGGCTAGAGCCCCTCTGGGCGGGGTATCAGCTGGGGGCGGAGGGCAGGGCGGGGGTGGTCCCGGTAGCGAGGCGCAGGCAGGTCCGCGCTGGAAAGCCGCGCGTTGCGCCCGAGCCGCGGAGCCGTCCGGAGCTCGCCGTGTCCGGCTCCCGGGAGACCGCGGGGCGGCTTGAGGCGGGCGGGGCGCAGTTCTGCTGGGACCCCGGCGCTCGGAGATCCCAGCCTCACGCCCTGCGCGCGGCGGGCCGCGTCCGGGACTGGCGGGCACAATAGCTCTGAGGCTGCAGTGACCCCTGGTGGGTCCTCACGTCCGTGCACCGGCAGTGGAGGTTGAGCTGCGGACCAGGCAGGGCCCCGCTGGGCTTCGGAGCAGGTGCAATCTGCGCGCTCCAGCTGGGAAGCAGCAGCGAGTTAATGCGACTGGCGGTTAGGGGAGGACGCGGGGCAGGGTCGATGGCAGGCCTCCCAGAAAACCCGCCTCTATGCTATTAGCAAGAGCTTTGGCATCAGACGTAGTTTTGAGTTCTCTCCTCTACCACTTGTTACCTGGGTTGCCAAAGCTCAAAAAATGTGCTTAAAACCTAGGACCTTAGCTCTTAGAACAAAGCAAATACTTGGCTTCTGCAGCATAATGGAAATGAATCTAACTTGAGGGGGGAGTTTCCTCCCATAGTGATTCGCCACAAAGGACCTTCTGTAGGAAGCCGCCTCCTTCCCTGCTATTGTGGCCCCGTCTGAACAATGGATCAGCACAACCCTCAAAGTGCGATCTAAAGTTCACGTGTGGCATGAACTTCACCTAGGCTACGAATAAAACCTTCTTTTATCTTCTGAGTTTTCTGTGAAATTGAAGGAGGATTTGAATTTCTATCAAGTTCTGTGTCCCACCTTGTGTTTTAGTATCAGTTTTGCCCAACGAATGTATTAGGTGACACATTGTAATTCTGGGTTTTAGCATCTCTACTTATAGAGGCTCTTGTGTAATATAGTATTCCTGACACCAATTCCAGATGTGACTGAAAGGGGTCATAACAGATTTTCATTCTTTACCACAGTAGTCAGCCAAACCATCCAAGTTTGCAAAGACAAACGGTCCAAGAGTAATCATTTGCTCCCAGTTTTGAGTTTTGCTGCCACATGTTTTGTGGTCCTTTGATTAAGCTTTTCATTTTTATTTTGTTTTCACCTTGAATGGTAATGGAAAGGGTGGGTGTTTTCGAGGGTGGGACAAGGATTCTCCTTCAGGCTTCTCACAAGGAAAGGTACAAAGATTTGATATCTCATACATATGATAGTCTTTTCTGAGCAAGACATTTTATTTTCTTTTTATCTATTAGGGACTGGGGAAACAAAAACTAAAATCTATATAGCATAGCTGGACCCAGTTGCTCACACCTATAATCCCAACACTTTGGGAAGCGGAGGTGAGAGGATTGCCTGCATCCGGGGGTTCAAGATTAGCCTGGCCAACTTGGCGAGACCTCATCTCTACAATAAATTAAAAAAATTAGCCGGGCGTGGTGGTGCATGCCTGTAATTCCAGCTTCTTGGAAGGTTGAAGCAGAAGGATCGCCTGAACCCAGCAGATCAAGGCTGTAGTAGCCATAGCATGCCACTACACTCCAGCCTGGGTGACAGAGTGAGACTCTAGCTCAAAAAAAAAAAAAAAAATGGGTGTATAGCATGAATTTACAGCTTCCTAGCAATAACAGTATTTCATAGGACTTACTCCATTTTACTTTTTAAAGTCACTCTTACTCTGTCACCCAGGCTGAAGTGCAGTGACACAATCACAGCTCATCGCAGCCTCGACCTCCTGGGCTTAGGTGATCCTTCCACCTCAGCCTCCTGAGTAGCTGGGACTACAGGCACAAACCACCACGCTGACTAATGTTTTTAATTTTTCTTGTTATGGTGCCCAGACTGGTCTCAAACCCCTGGCCTCAAGCCATCCTCCTCCCTCAGCCTCCCAAAGTGCTGGGATTACTACAGGCATGAGCCACCATACCTGGTCATTCCACAGGATTCTTAAAAAGCAGCTTTAATGAGTATAACTGACATACAATAAACTGTACGTATTTAAGTTATACATTTGTGTTTTTCCAAGTTGGAGTCTCACTCTGCCAACCAGGCTGAAGTACAGTAGCACAATCTCGGACACCACAACCAGGACCTGCTAGGCTCAGGCAATTCTTCAGTCTCAGCCTTTCAAATCCTGGAACTACAGGCAGCACCACCATGCATGGCTAATTTTTTTGTATTTATTGTAGAGAAGCGGTCTCGCCACATTGCCCAGGCTGGTTTTGAACTCCTGGGCTCAGGCAGTCCTCTCGCCGCAGCCTCCCAAAGTACTGGGATTAGAGGTGTGAAACACCACACCCGGCTTAAATTATACAATTTGATGAATTTTGATGTATTTGTACACCCATGAACCCATCACCACAGTCAAGCTAGTACCCGTATCCGTTCCCCCCTGCACCCCCTTCCCCATTTCCTCCTGCTCCTTTGTAATCCCTCTCTCCACTTCCCCATCTCTCTGCCAGACAACCACAGATCTGCTTTTGGTCACCATCAGTTAGCTACATGTTCTGGAGTTGATGTCAATGAAATCATACAATGTCAGCTGTCTTTTTTGTCTTGTTTGCTTCACTCAGCACAATTATCTTAAAATTTATCCTTGTTGTTATAAATATAAATAGTTCATTTATTTTTATTGCTCAGTAGTATTCCATTGTATGTATATGTCACAATTTGTTTTTCCATTCAAATGGTTTCCAGTTTTTGACTATTACAAATAAAGTTGCTATGCAGATTGTATTAGTCAGCTCAGGCTACCATAACAAAATACCATCCATTGGATGGCTTAAAAAACAGACATTTTTGTTTCTCATAGTTCTGGAGGCTGGAAGTCCAACATAACTGTGGCACCATGGTTGCTTTGCGGTGAGGCTTCTTCCTGGCTTGAAGACAGCGTCCATTTCTCTGTCTGCTCACACAGGACCTCTTTGTGTGCTAGGAGAGAAAGGTGGGGGAACAGAGGGGAAGAGAGAGGGAACATAGCATCCTATTCTTATAAAGACACAACTCCTGTGGTATCAGGCCCCACCCATATGATCTCATTTCACCTTAATTGCCTCCTTGTAGACCCGATCTTCAAATACATTCACACTGGGTTAGGGCTTCAACATACGAATTTTGAGGAGACACAATTCAGTCCACAGAAAGAATCTATGTCTTTCTATAAACATGTGCTTTTTAAAAAAAAAATAAAGAGTGAAATTCCTGGATCAGGAAATAAGCTGGCAAATAAGCTCATGGAAAGATGCTCAACATCATTAGTCATAAGGGAAATGCAAATTAAAATCACCATAAGATATCATTACAGACATTATAGAATGACAACCATATCAAGTGTTGGTGAGGATGTGGAACAACTTGAATTCTCATAACTGCTGGTGTAAGTGGTACAACCACTTTGGATAACAGTTTTGCAGTTTCTTAAAAAGTTGAATATATATCTTCCTCAAAATTTTGAAGGAAGACTTCCTCTACCTATCCAGAGAAACAAATTAATAATATACCACTCAAACACGTTTTCTCAGAAAAACATATAGTTTACAACATGTGCACAGTATAAATACGTTATTTAAAGCCTTGTGTCAAAGACTTTGACCTCTTCAGTTCTTTTGTTTTGTTTTGTGAAAGGACATAACATGGATTTACTATACTAAAATGAAAGAACATAACATGGATTTAATATATCCAATGAGCAGCCATTTTAACATTGCCTAGATCTCATGTTTTTCTAGGAGTTCACTTAACATACCCTCTAATCACTAGCCAAGGACAGAACTGGTTTCTCAGAGGTAGCTATTGATACTTGTTTTACAACCCCCTTCTCCAGCTTGTTTTGTACTAATTTGCTTTTCTATTTCAAGTATTTGCCTCCACCCATAAGGCCCAAGTTAACCTAATCAGACCTTCCTGACCTACGTGAGAGACAGACCCCACCACCATGGCAGCAATCATGTGACTAAGCCACCCATCTGCCTACTGCTCATTACCTGACATCAGTACTTGAGCTTACTTTTCCCCTTTGTGATGATGTGGAGCAGACCACCACCCAATCACCTTAATGACCTGCACCCATCAAGGGGAATATTTAAAAGTATTCAACCATAACCAGTCAGTCACCATTGCCTTACTAGACTCTGATGTGGCCATGTGCTTTTTGAGCTATGGCTGTCTGTCACTATGTTTCCTGGCTTTGGACCCTTTCCCTAACTTGGGGCAATGAATCTCCTCTTTCTCTTTCTCTCTCTCTCTAATTGACTTTTTAAATAAACTACATTTTCCAGTCTAACTTCTGTGTAATTCTTTGCATCTTTCACACAGTACCTGATCGCACACCAGACACCCACACCCCTAGTGAGCCTGACCTAACATTTGGAGGCCCTACTGGGAGTATAACCTAAAATTTTGTTTTGTTTTTTTTTAGAAATGGAGTCTCACTCTGTTGCCCAGGCTGGAGTGCAGTGGGACGATCATACTCACCGTAGCCTCAAACTCCTGGACTCAAGCGATCCTCCTGAAGTGATCCTCCTGTACTTGTCTCCCAAGTAGCTAGGACTATAGGTGTGAGCCAATGTTTTTTTTTGTTTTTTGTTTTTTTTTTTAGTTGGAGTCTCTCTTTTTTTTTTTTTGAGTTGGAGTCTCACTCTGTTGCCCAGACTGGAGTGCAGTGGCCGCTCCGGGCCACCGCAGCCTCGACCTGCTGGGCTCCGGCGATCCTTCCGCCTCAGCCTTCCGAGTAGCCGGAATTATAGGCGCGCGCTACCATGCCCGGCTAATTTTTTGATTTTATTGTAGAGATGAGGTCTCACCTGCCCAGGCGGGTCTCGAACCCGCGGGCTCAGGCAATCCACTCACCTCAGCCTCCCAAAGGTGCGGGATTACAGGCTGAACCACCGTGTTGCCCAGGCTGGAGTGCAGTGGCACACTCATGGCCACCCCAGCGTCAATATGCTGGGTTCCAGCGATCCTTCCAAGTAACCGGAACTACAGGTGCACGCTACCACGCTTGGCTAATTTTTTGATTTATTATAGAGATGAGGTCCTCACCAGGTTGCTCAGGCTGTTCTTGAACCCGTGGACTCAGGCAATCCTCTCACCTCAGTCTCCTAAAGTGCTGAGATTGCAGGCTTGAACCACCGCACCCGGCCATTTTTTTTTTTCTTTTTAATGTTGCAGAGGGTAGTCTCCAACTCCTAGCC